ACAAATAAAGATGAAATATAAAGTATAAGTATTAGATAGTTAAGCTCAGAAAAATGCGGGAGCATTTTAAATGATTTGTCGTTTAAGGTTGTAACGAAAAATACCCTTTTTTAAACCTTATAATAGAGGAGGTTGAAATACGTAACTAAATTGGAGAATTCAATAAATCTTTAGCAGTTTTATCTTTATAGATTTTCTTGAAATTATAGAATTTCGTAAAACCTGTCTTAGAGCTACAGTGTTTAACCTGTTAAAACAAGAAAGGTAAGTATTCTAATGTTTTAACAATAGTTTTTCTTCACCTTATAAACAGATAATTTACTAGTCAGCTTTTTTCGTGGACGAACATTTTTTACAGAGGCCTCTTTATTGTAATTAGTGTATTCTGGTAAATTAGGCACTTTTCCACCAGAAAATTTACTTCCAGTAGTACAGTTATTTTTGTACTTTACGTAGCAGCATCGTAATTAAAAATGTGTACATTAGCATCAGATGACCAAGCATGCATAGGTTAGGTTAGTTCATATTTACGTCGCGTGTAAATCATCTGAAAAAAATGCGCATTCTTATTAACTGAGCAAATAATCAATAACAATTAGCAAGCAAACGAATCCCAGGATACATTGCGGTAAAAGATTTGAAGCGCTAGTTTCGATTTTAGGCCAGTACGATAAACCCAACCGATGTTTTTAGCTTAGACAAATCAAGTTTATACATAAACATACTCACCCAGATATCTTTAGGTGGCAGTTACAAACATAAATGATCACCCAGATATCTTTACATAGACATCACAGACATACAGACACATAAACATATTCACCCAGATATCTTTAGGTAGTCCGTACAGACAAACACACAAACATACTCACCCCAATATCTTTAGGTAGCAATTACAGATAGACACACATAAATATACTCACCCAGATATTTGTAGGTAGCCATTACAGACAGACAGACACGTAAACAAACTCACCCAGATATATTTAGGTAGTCATTACGGACAGATATGCACAGAAACATACTTACTCAGATATTGGCCCTCGCCCTCGGATGGGGGCGAGGGTATTGCAATCGGGTCCATGTGTGTGTGTGTGTCTGTCTGTATTTCCAAACACGTATCTCAAAAACTAATAAACTGATGTACAAGAAAATTTTACACAAGATGGGAAGTCAGTATGGAACAGTCTTCCCCAAATTTGGTCCAGATCCGGATTCTGAATCACTTGGAAGCATTTTTATAATGAGGAGATAGGACATTTTCGTGGTTTTGGGTTAATAACTCTGTAAAGTGTGATCGGCACATTAAGGTTGAGACTCCTCATCACACTACACACAATGATCCAGATCGTTGATTATTCTGGATCTCAGAAGGATTTTTGAGTTTTCGAAGATGAAATTTGACGTCATCCAAGATATGCAATCGCGAAAAGGAGCGGAGGGCGAGGGTATGCAATCTCTCCGATTGCTCTTGTTTTCGGTAGTCAACAGACACATAAACATACTCACCCTGATATCTTTAGTTCTTTGCAAGCAACTAACTTACATCCGTTCATCTAGTTCCTTAGAACTTCTTAACCGTGGTGGGTTAGTGGTAAGTTTGCGGACTTAGTAAGCTAAGATCTGTGGTTCAATTCACAGCTGTAGACAAAGCGCAAATAAATACCTTTGTATATAAAAAAGTAACAAACAAACAGAACTTCTCAACGAACTGATAATCAAGTGTTTTAATTAAATTTTTATGATACTTACACGCGTATTCAAAATATATTTATTATCCTACGAGTGAAATAATTTTTTATTTTCTTCAGATAACCTTGTTATTAACGCAATTTACACGTGGTAGTTTTAGAGACAGTTTATACAAAAAAAAAAACTTTCATATATATAGATCAAGAAAATATTACCAGTGCAACTTAGCTCAAATAACCCACGGGTGTAGCTTGTATGCATCCTCTACTTAGACCAGTATAACTTAGCTCAAATAACCCACGGACGTAGCTTGTATACATCATCTACTTAGACCAGTGTAACTTAGTTCAAATAACCCACGGATGTAGCTTGTATGCATCATCTACTTAGACCACTATAACTTAGCTCAAATAACCCACGGATGTAGCTTGTATGCATCATCTACTTAGACCAGTATAACTTAGCTCAAATAACCCACGGATGTAGCTTGTATGCATCATCTACTTAGACCAGTATAACTTAGCTCAAATAACCCACGGACGTAGCTTGTATACATCATCTACTTAGACCAGTGTAACTTAGTTCAAATAACCCACGGACGTAGCTTGTATACATCATCTACTTAGACCAGTGTAACTTAGTTCAAATAACCCACGGACGTAGCTTGTATACATCATCTACTTAGACCAGTGTAACTTAGTTCAAATAACCCACGGACGTAGCTTGTACGCATCATCTACTTAGATATATTTTCCATTCTCAAAACTCATATTTTCCAGCTTTTACTATCTCATCTACGCTATGTCAGTCAAACGAGGATTTAGTTTTCCCAGAAAACTAATTTTGCAGTGGAAATCCATCTCATTCATTTGGCTAGCAGCAGGCGTTCCCCTCTTCTTCGTCTACCCGTATCACGTGACCCAACATTTTTCCACGAGCTCGCGCGGTAAGGATGAGGGCGAGCCTGACAGACAAAATCGACAGAGAGAGGTGAAACCTATTTTCTGGCAGCGTTGCTGCTTCGGTTGTTGCAGCAGTAGATCAACAGGGTAATGATGTTGAGTTACGTTTTTACACGTAAAGTGTTAGAACGTAACTTCTTTGGCTGGTGTTATTCTGAACTTTTCACAAGTAACAATTCTACAAATGTGCAATATTAAGTACTATTTAAAAGTATGTCATCTACAACAAAATATCACTTACAGACCAGTAATGAAACATTGCAAAAATGTTTTGTAAATTAACAAAAATATTATGTTATTTCACAACAATAAAAGTCGTATTCCCCAAACACAGAATTATGTGAACAATAACATAATTGACTGTTTTAGGGATATAAACACAAGTTTTAATTTTTTTTTTAATTCTCTAACAAAATTAATGACGTGTAGTTTTCAGTTCAAAATTGTGTTTATTTAAATACATTGTATGATGAGTTCCTGTTTAAACCATTCAGGAGTGTAACTTATAGAGAAAACGAATCGCTCTTCATCTGAGGAAATAATTAAAATATTGTTTTTTTTACGTAGTATTTTACTTTTTATTTATGATATGAAGTGCCTTAATTTAATGAAATTTTATGAATATGTAGATCTTGTATACAATTAAACACAAAGATTGTGCACACAAAAAAAAACGAACTTGTGTTCTGTTTTGTAAGCCCAAAATGGTTGTATTATAGCTATTCAAAAGACAGACTTGTGGTTTACAGAATCCAAATAGTGTTGCATTTAGTACAAGTTTTTACACTGAAGACTTCTCCAGTGAATTACTTTGAAAGGAGATCTTGATAGTCGTGTTGACATTTGTAAATACTCTCAAACACAAAATAAGTCTACCCCTCCACTAAGGAACATCAGTTTCATGGTGTAGCGCAGTATTTCCCCCAAGTTAGAGCCGCGGCCCCCCTGGGGGCCGTGAAGCTTTTTCTGGGGGGCCGCCAAAAATGGGCCGAAAACAAAGATGTTGAGTTAATTTTAATTCTGAATAAACAATAAGCCGATAAAATCATGTAAAATTAATTAAATGATACAGTATGTCGAAAGGAGATGTTATTGTTATTACTACGGTACTGTTTTTCTATCATCATGCTAAAGTTATAGGTTGCGGGGCCTCAGACTGTTTTATTTACATCAAAGGAAGCCTCAGACTAAAAGAGTTTGGAAATCACTGGTGTAGCAGGAAATTTTAGTTTAAACAAACTACTTGTAAATCTAGATACCTCGTGTTAAAATATACTAAATCAAATATTTCGTTAATACTCTGTGTCTCTAACTTAATACGAAAAGTAATCGAAATATCTTCTTCAACGTATGTCTCGTTCACTAAAAAATATATATATTGTGAAAAGGAGTACCTACTTCTATATATTTCAAACTTAATATCACCGACACGATAGATATCGATATCTCAAACTTAATACCACCGACACGACAGATTTCTATATCTCAAACTTAATACCACCGACACGATAGATTTCGATATCTCTAAATGTAATACCACCGACACGACAGATTTCTATATCTCAAACTTAATACCACCGACACGATAAATTTCTATATCTCAAACTTAATACCACCGACACGACAGATTTCTATATCTCAAACTTAATACCACCGACACGATAAATTTCTATATCTCAAACTTAATACCTCCGACACGACTGATTTCTATTCTTACAAAAGATATGTCGAAAGATTTCAGCTTCAGTGACTTGATGACACATTTCATGATACAAGCGCAAAATGTGCTTTTTATTCTGAGTAGCTACTGGTTTATTTAAAAATTATCTGACAACAATGTTTTTATGTCTCCGAAACTGAAGTTTGGGTTTTTAAAGTAATAAACTGTAGCGAAGTAGATCCATGTTATAGGTAGTTCAATATGATTAGGCACTTTTATTGACTTTTTTAAAGACGTTACCAATCGGAAATGTCTCGCACATCTGTTTGAATTTTTGCTATTCTTAAATTTATTGACCCATTTTTCTCCTTGTCAGGTCTGACAATGGCATGTATTTATAACTGATGGTGCAATAATGCAGCGTTTTGGCATTTTTCTTGATTCAAAAATGAAAATTTGAAATACGTTTTAAATCTAACCATTACAGTAGAATTAAAAATAAACACAAAGAAACAATTGACTATTTTCTATACAAATACGTGTTTGACTTAGCTCTAAACAGAATACTCTTCAGATTTATACAATATACATTATGAGGTATGGTAATATACTATATAGAACACAAGTACATGCGATTTTTTTTTGTTTTTCTCACTTAACCCCTACCTCTGCCGTATTACCCCTACCTCTGCCGTACTATCGTTGATACGATTTTGCAAAACTGCCGATTCTGATAATTCCTCATTGGGAATTTCTTTCTGTTGCTGGACTTTGGGCACAGTCGAGGACTGCGATGACCGCGACGTATTGACCACCATCTTTATTTTTTTTTTATCTAACTGGATTATGAGGAGTTTAAAGACACACACTCCAGTGAGCTAACATGGCTGACATGCTGATAGAAAAATTATGAAGACTTTATCCCTGGAAAGCACAACCACATCAAGTGGCGACCATATATTTTAGTAAAACAAAATCGAGAACACTCTAGAAGCTCAATAATTTAAAACAAAAGAGAAAATGCTGCTCTTATGTATTAGGGGAAGTTCCCGCCTTCATTCAGACCACAGAGGAAAGAAGAAATGCAGTGTTCTCGTTGATGACACAGTGTGAAGTGTTAGCGTGCCCAATTCGTTTCCAGTATAGGCGCCGCCACGTCCCTCCTCTGCTGTATACGTCATGACTCCACCAATGGTAGACAGCAGAGACAGACGGACTAACCCTTTTCTTTCTGTCCACCGAGAACCATATGGTATTTTCACATTCATTTAGCATAATTATGTAGAGAGTCAGAAAGGCTAATAATTAAAGTAAATGGGTTTTAAGAAATATTAAAATGAACTTAAATCATCCTAATTTACATCACATCTAATAGTACTCTATAAAAACCTATCAATGAAATGTCACTTGTTGTATTTTTGTATGATATTTTTACTGCTTCTAAATTCAATAGGAAGATCACAATCTCTATGTAGTCTTTCTGAAACCCCCCCAGTAACACAGTCTGCGGACTTACAACACTAGAATCCACGTTTTGATATCCGTGGTGGGCAGAGCAAAGATAACCCATTGTGTAACTTTGTGCTTAACTTCAAACAAACATTGCCCCCTAGTGGCACAGCGATATGTCTGTGGACATACAACGCTATAATTTGGGTTTCGATACCCGTGGTGGGCAGACCACAGATAGCCCATTGTGTAGCTTTGTGCTTAACTTCAAACAAACAATGTCCCCCAGTGGGACAGCGATAAGTCTTAGGATTTACAACGCTAAAATCAGGGGTTCGATTCCCCGGGGTTGACACAGTAGATAGCCCGATGTGGCTTTGCTATAAGAAAACACACATACACACACACAAACAAACTTTCTGAAACTGTACTGACTCCTATGAGATTGGAAGAGAAGTAAAAGTAAAAGACAGTAAATATAGACAAATGATACTTCAAAGAGTCTCGGGAAAGACGCCAATTAAAGTTCTTCGAAAAGCACTACACGTCTAAGTTGCAGTGATTGAACAGTGGCAGAATCGCAACTTCATCAAATATATGACAGTATATAAAATTACTTCTAAATGAACTTAAAGACGAAACTGTACTGCAATGTAACAATGTACTTTATATTGGGTACTTAACAAGTACTGTTTAAGCCGTACTGTATTGTAACAATGTGCTTTATATTGGGTACTTAACATGTACAGTTTAAGCTGTACTATAATGTAACAATGTACTCTATATTGGGTACTTAACAAGTACTGTTTAAGCTGTACTGTAATGTAACAATGTACTTTATATTGGGTACTTAACAAGTACTGTTTAAGCTGTACTGTAATGTAACAATGTGCTTTATATTGGGTACTTAACAAGTACAGTTTAAGCTGTACTGTAATGTAACAATGTACTTTATATTGGGTACTTAAGAAGTAGTGTTTAAGCTGTACTGTAATGTAACAATGTACTTTATATTGGGTACTTAAGAAGTAGTGTTTAAGCTGTACTGTAATGTAACAATGTACTTTATATTGGGTACTTAACAAGTACAGTTTAAGCTGTACTATAATGTAACAATGTACTTTATATTGGGTACTTAACAAGTACTGTTTAAGCTGTACTGTAATGTAACAATGTACTTTATATTGGGTACTTAAGAACTAGCGTTTAAGCTGTACTGTAATGTAACAATATATTTTATATTAGGTACTGAACATATGGTATTTCAGATGTTCTGTAACGTAACAATGTACTTTCTATTTGGGCATTATATTGTTTGAAGTGCAGTACCATTAAAACGTTATCCATTCAGTTATAGGTCAATCCTTACGGTTCTCGTATTTAACTTTCTAGTGATTTTGATACTATAGAAATAGGCATCGAGAAAGCGTAGACCAGCTTAAAAAAAGAAAGAAACTTCACCAACTCATTCAAAGAATCAGTAAACCACAAAACACATTTTCCTTCCAATCTTGCTTAGATAGCCCTCGGGTGGCTTTGCGCGAAATTCACATAGCAAACAAACAAACCTTTCAATACTGTCCGCCAACTTAAGTACGCAGTCTTCTTGGCTAGAATGCTCTATTTCGACCATTTGAGAAAAAGTTGGCTATTCTATAAATGTGTGAAGTTATGGAAAATATTGGTGAACATTTTACATGGAAAGTCTTTAACGAGTAAGATCTATTTTTTCACACATTCAGATAAACAATAATTTATAGGAGCAATGTATTTATTGCGTACCGATCGGACACTCTTTCCTTCACGGACTTCATTCCATCTAAGCCTTTGTTTCGAAGACGTTTTTGTATCCGTACAGAGCCAGATTATTAGTGTTGACTACGTGACGTCAGGCGTATACAGTCGCTTTCTTTAGCCCGCCATCTGGCGGTTGTAAATACAGTACAAAGATAATAGATTTCGCCTCGTGCCGAACCTAAATAGTGGAATGATTGAGTCCATATTTATACTGAATGAAGTTCAATACAGAGTTAGTGTGCCTGTTTTCGAGCCTAAGTAATGGAAAGCTTAGTCGATGTTTACGCTTTTTAGGTTAAATTCAGAGGTATTAATTAAACGCACTTTCTAAGCATCCAGGCGATTTCGTTCTAGATGTTTTTATTCATTATCTTAGGTGAGATGGGAAACTAAGGAAGACAAAAATATTATAATGCCCTATATGGAAAACTTAATATTTTTCTTAAACTTCGAGACAGTTTCGGAAAGACTACCAGCATTTATGTCTATTCCAATTTTATGTTTCTAAAAGCAGAATTGCTTGGTATGAGCAAAAACAACGAAAAATCGTGCTTTTCAGATAGTTTCTAATGACATGAATTGTACTTAACTTGCATATAAGTGTTAAACTTCAAGCCACGTAGTCAGAATATATTGCTTGTTCTTTTTAGTTTCATTCTATAATTCAGTAACGTGTAATTAACTAAACTAATACAAGCACGCTTTAAAAAGGTATATTCGGAATCGGTGGTGTGTTCCTATGAAACGTTTACGATTAACATTTTTAGATTATTTTTTCATACTTTTAAACATATAAGGTAAGCTGTTCGCATGTAGCGAATAATGTTTATTAACTAACTTTGGCCGATCAACAGATGTGGCCTGGCATGCCCAGTTGATTAGAGTGCTCGACTCGCAATCTGCGGGTCGTGGGTTAGAATCCCCCTCCCACCAAACATGCTCACCTTTTCAGCTGTGGGGGCATTATAATGTGATGGTCAATCATACTATTCGTTGGTGAAAGAGTAGCCCAAGAGTTGGCGGTAGGTGGTGGTGACTAGCTGTTTTCCCTCCAGTCTTTGATTGCTAAACTAGAGCAGATAGCCCTCGTGTAGTTTTGCGCGAAATTCAAACCAAACAAAAACCATTTGAAAATATCAAAAACCGTTATTTGTTTTAATGACACAAGAATAAAATAAAACTTAATTGCATCGGATATTCTATTTTCAAGCAAAGAATGACGTCACAGCAGAAAAGATCCAGATTACATTTGTAAATTGAATTAACAAAACTAATTTAATGAATTTTAGATAACATGAAATTGTTGCAGAAAAGATGAACTTGAATTTAATATTTTATATTGAGGAAGCATGATGACCTTACTAACATATAAAACGAGCTGTAGTATTTAAACAGTGAATAAATAGTTTAATATATGTTCTTTCTGTTCTTGTTTTAAGGCCCAAGTAAAGGCTGTTAAATTATGTCCAAGGAAAAGTTTTCAAGGTCCACTGTCCCCTGGTGGGAAAGTGGTAAGTTTATGGACTCACAATGAAAAAATCCGGGGTTCGATTCCTAGCGGTTGACACAGCAGATAGCCCAATGTGGCTTTGCTCTAAGCAAACAAAATAAGATCCACTAAAATGAAAAAAATGCATGAGTTGTTTTATGTGATAATTAAATTACGCGTTTATCGAGAGACATTCTTTTGATGACGAAGCAGGAAAAAAATACAATATTGGGTAAACTGAGTTATATTCTTTTGATGAAAGAATAATGATAAAAATAGTGTGTTTATAAATACATATGAGAGCTATGAATGAGGAACATAGAGAGAATAGATAATATATATATATATGATAGTGATGAACAAGAGAAAAGTGTATTGATTGAACTTTATAATAATGAAGAATAAGAAATGCTTAATACTTAGAGAATGTTGTATTTACAGATAATGTATTAAATCTGTGGAACAAAATCTTCTAAAAGCATAATTACATTTAGAAGGTGAAGTTAAATTTACAAAACAAACAAACAAAGTTTAAGAAGTTATGCTATTCATAACAATCCACAGTAGTTACTAGATTTAAGAATGAATATTATCAATCATATATTACAGAAATAAGTGGCGATAGCTAATATAATATTATAGATAATCTGTATATTTTAGGACATCACGAAACTAGGACATCAACTCTACTTATTTAACATACATATTAGTTGGAACTGTACAATAACATATTTTAAATATATTTACGGTTTGAGGATTAACTGCCTTAACCGTTTACATGGCACCTGCAACAGTCGTGATTTTGATCTTCGAGACATATCTGTTATTTATTATTGCAAGTTAAACTCCAGCGAATTAATAAGTAAGTTACATAATGGAAAAATAGCGTCATTTTGACATTTACATGTCTCCTAAAGACATAATAAGGTAATTATATCATGATATCTGACCGAAAAACAATCGCAAACAGGAATTTGGTAAAGCCGTATCAGCTCGAAAGATGGACTATCTATGCTCTGCCCACCACGGGTATCGAAACCCAGTTTATAGCGTTGTAAGTCCGCAGACATACTGCTGTGCCACTGATGGGGGAGGGGTGAGCTAACAACAAGTAAATATGTTTTATGTATATTAATCTACATTACAAACGTGGAGTATGTTTCTCTCCAAACAGTTTTAGTGCTAAACGTTGATTAGTGTATATTTAAGTTTGGAGAAGAGATAACTCATTTCAAAATATAAGGTTATAAAAACTGTGTCCATATTAGACAAATGTTACTTTTAGCTATATAAGCAACAGTTAGACTCTACGAATAACGGCACGTTAATCATGCTTATTTACAGAGCATATGTAACTGTGTCCACATCAGA